ATATATTTTTTCAATACATGTATTTCAAAAAACATAGTACATAAAAAGGAGTTGCTTCAAAACCATAATTTTGGAAATGTTGAAAGCAATTTCTTAAAATATTTGGAAACGCCAAAGAGTGACAAACATGTTGGGGCAGCAGGAGAAACATGATACGGAGTATATACTTGCTGTGAGTACTTGGTCTGCTGCTTATCATTGAACAAATAAAAAACAAGATTAAGTTGTCATTTATGTGAACTGTTATAAAAGGAATTATATGTGATGGGATTCGAAGAATCAGTCTGAGACTATAGCTAGGTATTCCCTTTCCAGAAAATCTAGAAGAAGGGTTCAGGGCTTTTCACAACAACGAATCTTGCTTTGACTCTTCCAGATCCTTCAATTCACCCAAACCAAACCAAAATAGAAGCCGTTCAGAGCCTGAAAATCTAGAGATAGAAAGATGAAATGGGAAGAAAATGATAGAGGTAAGGAGAGAGGAAGAAAATGAGAAAGATGTATCCATCTTTACTTTTTCTTTTGGAGATGGAATCATATCTCACATATGATTCCATGATGTTATTGAATTAAAAAGTTTTTCAATACATATGTCTATTAGAATAAGCAAAACAAATATACATCATATGATCACTCAACGGACGTTCTAAAGAGGTGGCATATAACTCGTTAATAATGTCCATCCACCCTTCGTTGGCAAGAATTCGGTCTAAATTTTCATCAATCCATCAAGGTGTACCCCATTCCCTCTCTCACATTCATTGGTAACCTTCAATCGGTAAATCACTACAACCGCTACCCCATATTACCCCCCCCCCCCTCCCGAATGTCTTTAAAATCAAATCCCATGACTTCCACTGCCTCCTCACATTGGGTAATCCGTAATATCCCGTAAACCTTCATTCCGATTCGCCCTCCGCCTACTGAACTCTACAATCAACGTAGTTTTGCACCCCAAGTGATGACTAAGACCTGAATTTCATCACGCCACCACAATCAAATAATGTCGCTTTGCCCGTGACTTTTAATTGCAAAATTGTGTTGAAACACCAATTGCTTTCATACTTGGTCACAACGAAGCGATTGGGCCTTGGTTTCCATCAAGAAGATGATGTGTGGGTTCTTCTCAATTGTTTTGAAAGCACTATTAGTTGTATAAACTTATTAAAGAGCCCACTTGATGCTCAATTTTCATTTGATAACGTCATTTTTGAGCTTCTTACTCTTATTGATCATTTTTTAATAAATACATAACTTTTTGTTTTGTGCATTGAATTGTGATTGAAGTAGGTGCATTTGAACTATTTTTTCATACTCTGGGGTATGTTTTTTTTCTTTACTAGTATGTGTACCCTCTGTTCTAAAAATCGTTCTAGGCGCCCGACTAGTCCCCGCCTAGGCGCTAGGCGGTGGCCGGGCGCCCCGATTTTCGTCTAGGCGCTCCGACTAATTGGTTTGCCGTCTAAGTGAATTAGTCGGTCGCCTATGGCGCCTAGTTTTCCGCCTAGAGCACCTAATTGGCCGCCTAGGCCGTTTAGATTCGCCGAACATTACTTTACTTTTTAATTTTTCAAGCGATATACGTACTTTAACTTTAGTCATGGATATAAGGAAATGAAGTTGTAAATTAAGATAAAGCTATACATGTTTGTATATATATCTAAATTTTATCATTATTTATATTTATAACATAATGAAGTTAAGTGATTAGTTTCATATACTACGTATGATTAGATGTGATAATTCTATCTTTTATGTTTGTTAATGTATATGTATATATGTGTTTTATACACACAAAAAAACAATATTACTTACCATATTTATGCAAAAATGTAGATAAAAATGCAATTTCTGTGTCTCCGACTAGTCCCCGCCTAGGCGCCCGCCTAGGCGCCTAGGTGCTGGCCTGGCGCCCGACTAGCGCCTAGCGCCTTTTATAACTTTGTGTGTACCCATGCACTGCACGATAAAATATGTGCGTAAAGTTTTTCTTAAAATCGTAGGACAGTGAATTGTATGTGAATTCGTAAATCAGTGTTTAAAAGAGAATCCAATTAGACTATGTGTAGATCTGTCAAAATGAGTCAAAGTCCACAGGTCTAGCCCATTTCATCCCATCTTGTGATGGGTTGGCCGTTGGAGTTATCATTTTTTATCCGGATGAACTCATCGGTTTCGTGGGTCAACTTGCACGGGTTGCAGGTTAAGTGGGTTGGCACATGCAGATTGTGAGTTGTCCAAAATACAAATATCTATTTTTGAGTTTCATTGTCTTCAATATTGTTTTTTTACTACCTGGTGTGGTTAAGTTCTAGCAACCCAAAGGTCCAACACAGTCCTTTGGGCTTTCGTGGGATCTTTTACCAATCAGTGCGTTTGGTGTATTAATTAAGGAAATATGAAGTCAAAAGCAATAAAGGATGAGAGGTAATGTGGGGCCAAGTTCTATCACGAACTTACTGAGCCCGAATCCCAACCTCTTGTTCTACACTGAGCTATTACAAAAGAGTTTGAGAGAACTCTAAGTTATAGTATGCAAATTTATCAACCCTTTACAATCAAATAAATGCAAGTGTTTATACTACAATGTAGTAGGTGTAGGTGATGATGTGTTGAGCCCTCACTAGATAACCTCAACCATATCTAGTGCACTAAATGCGCTTCCCGCTAATTCTAGCCTTCCCGCCGACTGCTTTGGAGAGCTCTCCGACATACAACTAGCACTATTTGAGAAAACACCAAGTATCAGAATATTATCGATCAGCGAATCCCGTGCAGAAAGTGGGCATGCATGCTAGTTAGGTCGTCTCGGGGTATTTGGGCTTGGATCCAATACCCAACACTACCAAAATTATTTTCAAATATACTTATTATTCTACAACCTTTATTGTAATGTTATTTCTATAATAGTTATTCAAATAAGTTACTCCAGCATATTTTTGTGTTATAGTTGAAAATACTTTTTAATAATTAATAATCATTGTTCACAAATATTGATTCAAAAGATCTAATTGTATCTATTTGTTGTACAATAAGTGCTTTTGCTAGATACTGTTTAATTGTTATCAAATTTGAATATAACAATGATTTAATAATATTTTTAATTAAATCTATCAAGTATTTTCAATTGAAACAACACATGACAATAGAGGAGGCTATATATATATATATATATATATATATATATATATATATATATATATATAGGGGTGAGATCACATATTAACCATTCCTCCCATGCTAACCTACAAACTATCAAAAACGGTGCATCTTTACATTATTTGTACTGCATATTGAAGTTCAAAGTGTTGCATATTATTTGTACTGCATATTAAAGTTCAAAGTTTTGCATATTGTTTTTATTGCATATTGAAATTCACAGTGTGCATCTTTACATTATTTGTACTGCATATTGAAGTTCAATGTGTTGCATATTATTGAGTTAGTAAGTTAGTATTTTAAGCATGGTTAGTATGTGATCTCTTACCTATATATATATATATATATATATATATATTATAATATTGGAATACATAAGAATTAGGGAGAAATATTTGTTTTTATTTTAAGAGAGACTAAAAATTGTTAACTATTTTTTATTTTAGAGTATTTGTAAATTGTACCATCTCGAGTGCAAAATTTTACCTAACTGTGTGCAGAATATTATGACAAATATAAAAATATAAAAATAAATAAATATATTAGATGAGTTGTTTAAAACAACATATGATAATAGAGGATGATGCATATAAAGTATATTGGAGTATATAAGAGTGGAGTTTTGAAAGTGGAATAGCTTTTTCTTTAATTTATTGTGTTGCCGCATGTCATTTTTCATACAAAAGATGTTGCCACATGTTAACAATTCCTTTCAAGGGTTCTTTAGAGGCTTACTTTATTATATTATATAGATATAGATTTGATTAACATAATACTACGTTTTTTTTATATAATTGAATAATTTACTGCGTACTACGTGGGACGAGTATTAAAGGAGTGTTCGCAAAAACATAAAAAAAAACACTTTTCAGCGTTTGGTTTAAAAAAGCTGAAATGAAAATTCCATGTTTTTAAGTGACAACATTTAAGCCGAAAGCTGGTGGAAATGTGTTTTAAAGTGTTTTTCACTTTTTCTGTTATAAAAAAATCGTTTTTTAAGGACATTTTTTTAAACACAATTAGGGGTGCAAATAGGCCAGGCGGCCTGTCAGGGGCTTGTGGCCTGACATGTTAAAAGTTTGGTCTGACCTAGCCTATTTAGTAATCAAACTAGGTTTGGGCTTTTCAAAAAGCATGTTTATCTAAATAGGCTAGGCCTAGTCCAACTCTGAGACCTTTTTAGCTTAACAGGCCGGCCTATTTATATGTGTATATATTTAATTATATTATATTTATTTATATTATTTACATTTATATTTATATTGGTATACTTAACTATAGCAAATTCGGCATAATAGTATTTTTATGGAGTGTGTATTATAAATTAGAGTAGAATACTATTTTAAATATATATAAAATGTGCTAATAGTTTATTAAGGTAATTGAAATTAAAAGTTTTTCAAGATTTGAAATATATAGAAATTTATTTTCACTACATAATACTACGTAATGTATTATTAGACATCCAAAGCAAAACTAACGTATTATTAGACTTTTTAGTAAATATTTGGGGAAATAAATTTTATACCGGGTTAAAAGGATTTTTCTCTTTTTATTTTTTATTTTTTTTATTTTTTATTTTTTTGAAATTTTGTTTTTTTTCTTAACAGGTCCAGTAAACAACTCCAGACCAGGCTTTTAAACAGGCCAGGCTCAGTCCGAAAAACCACACCTTTAATAGGTAATAGGTCAAACTCAGGCCTATACATTCTAAAATAGGCCCGACCTGACCTGTTTCCATTTCAAAACACAATCAACTTTTACTATTAACCATTTTCTCAAATATTACTAAAAATCATAGAATACTTTTTTTTTAAGTAAAAACAACCTCAAATGCTCCCTGAACAGTGGATATCAATCATTTTCTTTCTAGAGGTTGAGTTCCCAGTTCCTTCCCACCCCACCTAGTGATACCTGCGACATTGCAAGGCCAAAGAACTACGTGAATGATTAACAACAAGACGGGAGGAAGGGTTCGTTGAACATCGAAGGACAAAAGAATGGAAATGGTGTCAGATGATTATGGATCTTTCATAGATAAATTCACACTCCAACCATTTTTTTCTTCTCCACAGCTCCCCTTACATGGCCTCACATTTTCTTTAAAAGATATGTAATTCCCCTCGACCCTCTCGCAGAAAGAGCTAGTTATGTAATTCAGTTCGAATCCGGCGAGTTTACTCCATTGGTTGATCATCAAGTGTTTCACTATTTCCTGTTTAGTAACTTATACATATACTAAGTAACATATAGATTAGTATTTATTCCTTTCTGAATAACAAAGAGTAATAATTTTGGCACTAGATTCGATGTGGAAGGTTATGTGACGGAATTTGGGAACCCGGATTGGGCAAGGACTCATTCTGCAGCAACATCAACTTCACCTGTGGTTTTGGATCTTCTAAGGGCAGGTGCCACTGCTGTTGGCAAGACTGTCATGGATGAAATGGCATACAGGTTGTTTGCTCATGTCCAAGTTTTTTTTTTTAAATTCAGTTTCAAACTTTCAGAAATGTTGTCATTGTTCCAACTCTAAACATAATAGAATGAGGAAATTCCCTAAAGAGTGAAACATAGCACATTTTCTCAAACAGGAGTGGAATGTACCAAATAGAAGTATCATTGCTTCCTATTAGGAAGCAATAATAGAAGGGAGTATAGTTGCTTTTCTGCCAAAGCATGACCCATTCATTCCTACTTTGGAAGTTTTAATTGTTTTATTATTTTAGTATATTTTCCAGAAATTTTCAAGTCAGTTTGATCTAGTAGGCTCTATTTAAGTTCGAATGAGCCTAGTCTGATAAGGGCTAGTATTATTGGTAGTTTACTGCTACCTGAGTCAGTTTGATATGGTTGGGTAAGATCAGTTTAAGTCTACTCAAGTTTGATCTGGTCAGAGCTAAAATCTGTTCTTTTAAAACATTCTTAATACGATTGAAAACGTCCTATTTTCCAAATAAATCCTACGTGGTCCTACGTTATAACTTTGTTCACGTTTTACTTGCAATTTCTTACTTGAATCTTGTTTACACTGCCAATATAGTTTCATTGGATGAATTAGTTATGATGAGTAACACTCTTTTTTTAGGGAAGTAACACTCTTTTTGAAATGTTCAAATATAGATATACAAATTCAAATATAATGCAGGAACAAAATCACTTACGAACTCAAACTGACATTCAAAACCTTTCACTACTCTATCCTATAATGTCACTTTTAAAATTTTAGGATGGGACCTCAATCTTTAATACTTACGATTCAAGAGTTTATTATGATCAAATAAGAGACATGATCCGAATATCCGATTAAGACTCAATCAGAGGATTAAATCCTAAGTGCGGGACTGCTGGTCAATTAATTTGAAACTCATGCATATATTTCCAGTATAAACGGTGAGAACATCCACTATGGGACACCCAGAAATCCATGTGCTGCAGATAGGGTTCCTGGAGGGTCATCTAGTGGATCTGCTGTGAGTGTTGGTGCGATGCTGGTGGACTTCTCCTTAGGTATCAATGTTTATTCAATTGGAGTGTTTGTGCATGTCATGTTTTTGAGTTTATATTCATGAAAGGGTTTCAATCTCTCACAGGTACTGACACTGGGGGAAGTGTAAGAGTCCCTGCATCCTACTGTGGAATATTTGGAATCCGACCGTCTCATGGAGTTGTTTCGACTGCTGGAGTTATTCCAATGGCACAAAGTTTTGATACAGTTGGTGAGAAATTAGTACTATATAATACTTCACCTATGTGACTAAATTTTGTTAATTTTCTTTATTTGACTGCCTCAAAAACTTTGTCACTTTTGTTTTAAAGTAATAAACTCGCGATTGATATCATTTCTTTCTCCTCTGCACAAACCATAACCGCACCATTATTACTTTCTCATCCAAGGTGCAAGTCAAATTTGTCAAGTTTAGTGGAGTGGTGGGAGTATATTTTATAAAAGTGTTAGTAGTAAGAGACAGTTGGAGGAAATGAAGTTAGTTCTTATAGTTTAATTCCCTCATAACTTTGAGGGCTCAATGTATTATACTACCTCCACTCTGAAAAGAATGTTGTGTGGTCAATATAAGACTCTTTAGTTCTGGTAAGGTACTTCTGAGATAAATGATAAAGCTACTTTTCTTTCCTAATAACATATGAATATTTCATATGTTATCAAGTGACCTGTCTGATTTTTTGTTTGGAAAAATTACCTGATGATTAGCTTAGTTTGAGGAATAGTACTCTGTATATTTTTGGGACCAAAAAAGTGTTTGAAGCGGATAAATGGATTTAAAACGTTTAATGTCCCATACAGGATTACTTTAAGGTTCAGGGGTTTTAATGTGAAATTGTCAAATTGATGATTCCATTTTTTTGTCATGTCTAATTGTCTTATAATGAGTATGAAGATTGTTAATTGGAATTCTAAAGGAGCTTCTAATGTTCAATCAGGGGAAGATTTGAACCAATTTGATAAACAAATAGATTAGAAATGCTTAAAGGCAAGTAGGCAACCATAGAACTACACTAAGACGAGAGATGTTAAATGTGGAATTGATAATTCAATACTCTTTATATCTTGTATTTTGTATGAAGAGGGTCAATGGTAGTGACTATACCATAAAATTTCTAATGAAGGAATTCGTTTTTCACTTTTTCAGGATGGTTTGCGAGGAATTCATCAATCTTAAAGAAAGTAGGAGAAGTCTTATTGCCTTCTCAAAACTTGCATCCCACTAGACCTGATCAAGTTATCATTGCAGAGGATTGTTTCAAGCTTCAAGACTTTTGGGGCATCCAGTCCACAAAAGCGTTTGAAGATTCAGTAAAGAAAATATACGGATGTAAGTGATTTACATATTGACTTTGCATGTTGTGACAACAACAACAACATGCAACAAAAATTCGCATGGTGTGACATTTTAGAAAATTAAAATTGGATGAATAAGCTGTGCAGGTGAGACCATTAAACACACAAGTTTGGGAGAGTTTGTTGAGAATAATGTTCCAAGTCTGAAATCTTTCATGGACCAAGGATATGGAGATCAAGAATATATACCCTCTTTATTAGCTCTTTCAAATGCTATGCGGTTGCTTCAAAGGTGTGGGAAAAAAGTGAATTCAGTACTGGTTTAGACATTTCGTCTCTTTCTTTTTAAGGTTCTTGATAGAGTTCCAGTAAGGAGAAATCTATGCGGTAGTAATAAGATTTTAGGATGAACTAGCTAATAGACTTGATAGAGTTCCAGTAAGGAGAAATCTATGCGTTAGTAATAAGATTTTAGGATGAACTAGCTAATAGACTTGATAGAGTTCCAGTAAGGAGAAATCTATGCGTTAGTAATAAGATTTTAGGATGAACTAGCTAATAGACTTGATTCCATCTTTTTTGGTCCAACTATCTTATTGCCGAGTTGAGCAACCCAATCCAGTATTGAATTCTACCCGTTTTTTTTCCTACTTTGTATTTTATTCTAAGTAATTCGACCCCCTTACCCCACCGTAGGTGGGAGCGGCACTGGGGAATGATGATGATGATTTTATTCTAAGTAATTCATTTTGGTACACTTGAAATGGAAACATATCATGAAATTGTACAGATACGAATTCAAGAAGAACCATGGTGAATGGGTTAGCACAGTTAAGCCAAATTTAGGTCCAGGGATAGCAGAACGGGTTTGGGAAGCACTCAAAACTACGGATGAGAAGATAGATGTCTGTCTCTCTATAAAGTCTGAACTAAAAGAAGCTCTCGGGACACTCTTGGGGGTAATGCAAACCTCTTGTTATGTGCATTATGTTGTTCTCATTTTCGTCACGTTGAATGTTACTCTTCCCCCAAATTTTAGGGGATGTTCAGAACCTCAGATTATAAAACTTGACTACAATTAACTTCAATTTTCGTTTGGTTGTATTTAATTTAATGTTAATAACAGAACTAAAATTTGGGTCATAATCTTGAAAACAATGTGCTCTTCAATTTATACGGAGTTATATCAAGGATATGCTTGATTGGATGGCTTATGAAGAGAGAAACGAAGGACTGCGAAAGTAATCTTTTTTCAATTTATTGTTCTGACTCTTATATATGGATAGGATGGTGGCATACTTGTGATACCTACTGTTCCTGGAGCTCCACCAAAGCTACAGACAGATCCCAACAGCTTGGAAGCCTTTCGTGTGAAAGCTTTTAGTCTATTATCCGTTGCTGGAATATCGGGTTTTTGTCAGGTTAAGTTTCTCTCAACTCCTCCCCGCCCATAAGGCCACAAGTATAACAACTATGACAAAAGCTGTTAGTTAGCTACTAAAGTTTGTTTATCTTGCTCTTCTTTTTCCCAAGTTTTTTTTTTTCATTTTCAATTCTATATCTCATTTTGCTAAAGTGTTGTAATTTCATTCATTGAAAATACATATTAGACTCTTGTTTTAGAAGAGTATATGATGGTTTGGGTATATGTGTTAAAGTTTTGTATTCTTTGTCAAATTATTATTAATTAATATGCCATTATTGGCAGAATCAGTTCCAAACACCCCTATACTAGTCACCTAATTATAGCCTAGGGTCTAATTCATTTGCATTTACAAATATGCCAATATACTAGGTGCCTAATTGCCATTTGCAAAATTGCTCCTCTCCCACCCTCATTGGGGTAACGAATTTTCTTGGGGTGGTCTTGAAGACCCCCTGCGGATATTAAAATTATGAGCCAAAGTTTTATGTTTATACAAGATTATGAACCAAACAGAATCTTAAGGGTTGATGATTGGACCAACAGGTAAACATACCACTCGAAGCATATGGCAACCTTCCTGTTGGAATATCATTGTTGGCAAAGCATGGCTCTGATCTTTTCCTTCTCAATACTGTTGATGCTATCCATGGAAGTCTCCAGGAGCAGGTTGAATTGTTAAAAGACTGATTACTCTTTTCTTTAGCAAGTTTCTGTGCATAATTGTTTCTTATTCCTACTCTCCCTTTTTACATTCTAAAACAACTACTTATCATACACAGCAATTTCTCATCTCAAGATACTGGCCAGCAATTGTTGGACTTCAATAGATATCCAAAAGTTTTTAATTAGTGGAAATTCATTTTAACCACCGTTGATCAGAAGAACACTTCACTCTCCAAAGATATAGTCTCATCCAAAAAACACTTCTGATAATTTGATTATACAAAGAGTATAAACACACATAAAAAGTGTGCGTGATACACTAATACTGTGTATTAGTGTGTTATTTTCTATAGATCAACAAGGGTTTACATTAGGCAACACAGTAAAAACCATCACGTATTTCACACACTCAAACTGACACAATAACTAAATAAAGGAAGTGCAGGCCTTCCTTTAACGCAACACAGACATTATAATTACACGATACATACAATAACATAGTATAATTACATAAGAAGCTAGCCGCCCTTATTAACACTCTCCTTGTGACTGCCCTTAGGTTTTTCTTCAACCACTAACAATTGTTCCTCCTGCAAAAGCGTACCAGAAACATTACATTACTCAGGAAATGCATAAAACATCAGGTATGACTAGAGCATTATGTTTTTTTACCAAAAAGATGAAAAGGCAAATGTCTAGCGTACCATTGGGGTGGAGGACTTGGCCTGTAAAATAACTGGATTCCGGGCTGGATGCGAGGAAAACATAAGACGGAGCAACCTCGATGGGGTGGCCCGCCCTCTGCATTGGCACTTCTTTACCAAAGCTTTGACACCCAGATTCGGTGAAGGAAGCCGGAATCAGCGGTGTCCAGATTGGACCGGGGGCAACCGCGTTCACACGTATCCCCTTGTTCACCAACTGCAGAGCAAGCCCTCTGGTGAATGCCACAATTGCGCCCTTCGTTGCGCAGTAATCAAGCAGCTTTGGACTCCCTTTGTATGCTGTCACTGAGGTTGTGTTTATTATTGAGCTCCCTTCCTTCATGTGCTTCACAGCATGCCTGAAATCATCAGGGTACATATTTTGAAATAGTGACATATGTGCATGAGCATAACTAAACATGATAGAAGTGTGACTTTTAGTTTGCATAAGTTTTAAGGGTTTGATTAAAATTGGAAAGGAATGGATGGGATATATACTTGGTAAGAAAGATATGGGAAAAGATATTAGTCCTAAAAACCCTCAAAAGCCTAGGCTCTTCAATCTCCTCAATCGACCCGGTTTCGTACTGCTCGGCTGCATTGTTGACAAGAATATCGATCCTCCCGTAAGCATTCACCACTGCATCCACGACCTTCTTGCAGTTCTCATCGAACCCCAAGTCGGTCGGTATTGCCATAGGCTCTTTTCCACTGTTGGATGCCTGCTTTAAGATCTCAAGGGTGTCCCTGGCATCCTTGTCCTCCTGCGGTTTCACGTAGGTGAATGCCACGGTTGCACCCTCCAATGCGAAGCAGTGGCAAACAGCTCGCCCGATCCCCGAATCTCCTCCAGTCACCAGTGCGATCTTTCCCTGTATACAAGTTATTACTGTAGCTCTAATAGGGAAGCACTTACTCAGTTACTCTGCATGCATGCATCATGCATGAGCAGCTGATATACACACGTACAAGTACAAATGAAATATTTTTACTCCCTCTGTCCCATTAAAGATTGGAAAACTGGAAAGGTATCTTAAATTTAAATATTAAAAAAGTTGAAAAAGAGAAAAGAAAAAAAAAAAAGTAAGCAAAATCACAACTTAACAAATTAAACTAGTACTTCAAAGAGGAAGTGATAATAACGAAGAAGGAAAGCCAAGTGCATGAGACTGGGAAGTATACATGAAATAGATCATTAATAAAATATCCTTTTATTGAGGTCTGATCTTCAATTATTTATCATCTTCAATTAAAATGACAAAATTTGTTGGAATTGAAGGAGGTACGGTTATAAATAAATAGATTATGAAAGAAAGAAATTTTGAAGTAGATTATTAAAATAAATAAATGTATATACTTGAAGCCTGTTGGAAGGCTTATAATCTTGAGAAGAGAAGCGAGGAGTGGGATTCATGAGGTGTTCTCTGCCAGGCTGAGAGTCCTGCTTTTGTGGAGGGAATTGGTTGCCGTCCGATGCCATGACCGCCGGAAAGTGAGCGCGCGGTGGTTTACGGTGGTTTAAGAAGTGAATTTAAAACGGTACTATTACTATACGGTGTAGCTAGAACGAACACTTGTGTGGTAGCTCGAATTGTAGTGGAGAAATGAAAGGGTGTAGCATTGTATATATAGGCAGATAGACGTGAGGGATCGAAGCGGTGAGAAGTACGTGGAAGGCGGAGGAAGCATGTAAGGTTTGGCTTGAGGTTACAAGCGGTGGACACGTCCGATCCTAAATTTAGGAAAACGCTAGCTGTGGATATATCTCTTGATCAGATTTTTGGCGTCTCCAATGCGATGAGATGAATGGTAGAAAAGTAAATCATCATATGTATATTCAATTGTAGAAAATCACTGGTTTACTTTTTCGAAAAATGAAAAAGTTAAATAGGCAAACGAACTCGAAAAAGAACGTGCAAAGGAGCCACCAAAACTTGAAGGATGTGCAAAGGAACACCCACAATTTGTGCAACACACAAAGTCTATAAAATCAATTCGCTGTCTTTTACTGTGTTAGAAACGTTGCAGCGGCACTTTCTCGAGATATGATGGCCGGCTGACCAAAAAAGTAGCAAGTTTTATCGGAAGATTGACCGAGTTTTGTTTTTGGACACTTTAGTAGTAAGTATAGCTCGTTGTGTGTTCATTTTGTTTTTCAAAATATTTTGACAAGCATATTGCATTATCTGTGTAAGATAAATTTTCTGACGGCATTCGTGTTCGCAGATGTCGCGCACGTAAGCGGTAAGTCACATTTTTTTTTCATTTCGGGCTTTGGTTTGCACCCTTGCGCGTAAAGAGAGCATTTCCACTATGCAATCTTAACTCCTTCAAAGAGGATCTCATTTATAAGAGCATTCCCACTAACTAGGAACCATCCATGTCAATGAGTGATTGAACTCCGCGAATCAATTTATCATGTACCCGTTATCCGTTTTGAGTGTACCACATATCGAATTGAAACTTTTATCAAAAGAAATACGAGAAATTCACTTTAATCCGACTCAAATTGAAAAGTTTTCTGAAATAATTTGTAAATGAGCACTTGATTCGTATTAGGGTATGTATCACATATCTAATTGAACTTCTTAAGAAGGAAATCCGAATCCACTTTATATTATATACAGAGTATACCCTAAAGTTGGTTTTGAGTGTATTATAGCCTTATAGGTATTGCACTACTCCTTACTTTAACCCGAATTTTCAAACGGAATTTGATCTGCTGGTCTATTATTTCTAAAGTCTGATCTGGTATGATATACTCCCTCCTTTCCAAATTGATTTGTAAAGTCAACATTTTTCGGTCAACCAATAAAAAAGAGTCAATCCTCTCTATCAATAGTTAATTCAATTTTTAATAATTAAAATTTACATATTCAGAAACTACATTGAAATCTCTTCAAAATTGCAAACTCCAAATTATTAGAATATAATTAAAAATTGATATCCTAATTAAATGAATAAAATGAAACTGTTTGACCAAGAAAAGTCAAATTTGCAAATCAATTTGGAGTGTTTTATAACTGTGAAAATCTCATTTATAGACCAAAACTAGTTCAAGACTCTGATCGAGTTACAACATCTTAATTTTTAAGGCAAGGTATATAATTAAATAAAGGGGGGTCGAGACGTGGCAAATGGGCGTTAAAAGTACAAGTCTACCAAGTGTGTCAGCTGCTTTGCATGGACGCAACGTGGGGCTTATACATGCATTCATGCATGCAACTTCCGCGGTGCACTCTGATTTTACATCATCTCCGATCTTCGTAGTTATCAATCTAGCTCTAGCTTAAACCATATTTAAAGCCGCTTCGATCACCTAACCCGGCCATTAATATAATCCTGCCTTAGCTTCATCTTCAAATCTCATCTCTACTCTCTACCCGGCCTTTAATTTCTAGCTCTATATTATTTTTCTGATCGACCTTTTAATCACCTATCATATATATATATATATATATATATCCGATCCATGGCATCTCATGGCCGATACGCTGCAGCAATTTGGGGTTTCCTCCTCGCCTTTCTCTTTGCTTCTCTCTTGGTTCGCTGCGATGGTTAGTACTCCGATCCCTAACAAACTTCATTTTCTGCACTTCTAAGGAAAAAACTAAAATGCTTTTTTCTGGTGGCATAAGTATATATGGGTTGATGATGAAATTGATTTGTTCCCATTTAATTATATAGTTTTAAAATTATTGATTTTTCACTTTAATTTTGACATTTTTACTATTTTATTATTTTTAAAAAATTACTATACAAATTTCAACAATTTTCTCATATTTTTAAAAAGTGAATATTCTGAGAGAAGTTGAAAATCAGTAATATGGCTGGATTAATTGTTTTTTGAGTAAACATTATACCTCTTATTTTTCCTTGAGACAATTTTACCTTTTTAAATATGAAATCACTCCAAATAGGAGTGAAAGATAGACATATTGTACAATTAATAGGGTATTTTTTATTCTCAAGAAATGAATTATTTAGTCCTATTAAAGTTTAAAAATGTCTCAATTAGGAGTGAATTCCTACTATTTTAGGAAAAAGTGAACGGTAATTTTTATTTTCGTGTCTAGCCAAAACGCTAGTTCTTTATGAGAGAGATCTAGGGATGTTTGTACTTGAACCGCTGGTCTGATCTGGTCTGGTAATGTCTGGTCTCTTTGTATTTTTACAACTTCTGGTAATGTCTGGTCTCTTTGTATTTTTATAACTATTCAAGTCTAGTCTGATCTGGTCTGGTAATGTCTCGTCTGGTCTGATCTGGTCTAGTCTGTCTCGATCAAGTCCAAGTAATTGAGAGTATAGAGGATGAATTTAACATAAGCAAATTTATGCATTCCCTTTGAGCTACAAAATTGACTTACAAACAGATTCATTTTATCCACTTAATTAGAATATTAATTATTAATTAAATTTCAATTTGGATTTTACCACTTTATAGAGAAAGATTTTAATGTAAAATCTGTAAATTTTAAATTTTTAGGAGGAAGGTAGTATGAATTTGAAATAGTAGACATTCATTACATATTTTTTTTCCATAAATGACTTTTGACAATACATGATTGATTAATATCAGATGAAGAAGATCATCTTCTGCAAGGAATCAACAGCTACCGGCAATCCTTGAATGTGCCGGCCCTGGCGAAGCACGACAAGGCGAATTGCCTGGCGGAGGAGATAGCTGATGAAATAGAAGACCAGCCCTGTCCCCGGCCGGGCAGCCGGAGCAGCCCGCCCCAAATCGGGAACTTACAGAAACACCTGGACAAGTGCAAGATAGACGCTAACTCGACGAAAGACGGGGCAATACTGCCCGTCTGCGTCCGGAAGCGAGTCCCTACGCTGGTTCTCACCAACTACACGCAGTCATTTCAAAACGCAAAATTCCTCAACGATTCCCGCTTCACCGGAGCGGGAATCGGGACGGACGATGACTGGACGGTGCTGGTGTTGACCACCAACACTGAAGCAGGGATGTTCGCAGCAGCGTCCGCTGCGGTGGTCAATGCAAGTCAACGGTTGATGCATTTGTTGCAGGTGGCCGCCGGAATGTCCCTTTTCATGCTGCTGTAGATCGATCTGAATAGTTTGCTTTGCCTTGTGTCATTAATTAATTGCTTAAATTTGCGGTATTAGACTATGAGTTAGAATATAATGTCTGTAATATACTCTGTTTCAGTTCTGGTGAATTGTGTAATAATCCGTTTGATAGACTATTAGAACATGTTTTTTCTTTAATTTAGAGTCAATTTGTTCACTAAATACTTATTCCTTTGACTTCATGTTCATAAGATATACGGAGTATTGGAAGCAACTTTTAAGTATGTACATTTTGATTAGTAACTAGTATAGAACCTGTGCATGTAATTATTTGTATAAAGAGGTAATTCATATTTTTTTTAAAAAAATCAACAACATATCTAAACTCAAACTATCCGAAAATTTTCATTTCGGACATATAAGAAAAATTTTAATCTACTTGGTATCAGAGATAGTCAATCACAAAACAGTAAATAAAATATCTCTCCAACTAATACGTTAACGGTGCATACTTGGCATCAGAGATAGCCAATCACAAAACAGTAAATAAAATATCTCTCCAACTAATACGTTAACGGTGCATACTTGGCATCAGAGATAGCCAATCACAAAACAGTAAATAAAATATCTCTCCTTATTTGAAGGATCTTATATCATTTTGATAATTTTTTCTTCACAATGTGAAAAACAAAGTCTAGATGTAGACATTGTGTTTGACATTGCAGAGAAAAATTTACCAAAAACACATAACCGTGGAAAGATGGAGAGAGAAATATCATAAAATCAATCTTTTGTGTCTATCTCTCTTATGCCACATGTGCACCATGTACATTGTAGCATTGGAGATGCTCTAAATAGCGAACTAATTTCTCTGGGAGATAAATTCAAAATGCTCTTAGCTTAACTAATTTTACAACAATAAAGTAATAAACTCATATAATAATTTATATGTTGTAAGCACTTTTTATTACTTAAAACGTAACATTTAAAGTGGATAAACTAATTCACAAACCACCTGTTAAAACTAATTCACAAAAATATACAACAAATCACTTCAAAAAATTCACAAATCAGTAAATACAAACTTACAAAGTTGCCATTCATACAAATTCAAATTGCACTTATGACTTGTACACCTCATACACGACAACACATTCATAAATTGATTTATAGAATTATACACAATTATAAAATTATTGAATTACATTAAAGTAAAAAACTTAAAAGAATAAGACTATAAAACTAAATAAAGGAAAATTACCTCACGAGACACAAGCCACGACTTCTAGCCCTTTTGCTTCTTCACAGAATGCCCAATAAGAGCTTTTAACAGTAAAAAAAAATGAGACACGTAATGTCCTACTAAAGTGTTTCAATATTTTTGCTCCAATGCTCTCTTTATGTCAACAGTTTAAGTTGTCACAATTTAATGTCAACAGTTTCAAACCCACTTTCCCATTCTCAAAAGCCAGTTATACAGCGTGAGTCAGCAAATTAATTCTCCGCAAAAACTACCCAGATAGTAAAATAGCGCTTATTTCAAATATAATTCTGACGGGAGTGTTGAACGTCTCAAGGCGCGTCTTGTAGTTTTGAGTAATCATCAAATTGCTAGATTGGATTAGAATGAAGCATTTGCTCCTGTAGCAACAATGGTTATTGTTTGTGCTTTCCTTGCGGTTGCTGCTACCAATAATTTGGAGCTTCATCAAATGGATGTACACAATGAAGTGTGCATGAAGCTATCGCCGGGTTTTTCTTCTAGCTCTCCGGGTCGAGTGTGTCGCCTTCGTAAATCCTTGTACGGATTACGCCAGGCTCCTCAGTGTTGATTTTCCAAGCTTCCTACCTCCTTGAAAAATTATGGGTTTCACCAATCCTATTCAGATTATTCCCTCTTCACATTTCATCAGGGTGACATTCGGCTCAACATTCTTGTATATGTTGATTTAATTATTTCAAGTAATATTGTATTTGTGCTAACCTCTTTCAAGGAATATTTAAGTACTTGTTTTCATATGAAGGATCTTGGAGCGCTCAAATATTTCCTAGGGGGTGGAAACTGTACGGAGCACGGAGGGCTTATTTCTTTGCCAACGGAAATACTCCCTTGATATTATTACAAATGCGGGTCTTCTTGGAGCAAAACCCGTGAGTATACCGCTCCCACAAAATCATTCTTTGGCCTTAGCTGCAGTGATCCTCTTCCTAAACTAGAACCGTATCGGCGACTTGTCGGTCGTCTTATCTATTTGTCCTTCACGTGTCCTGATTTAGCTTATGTCGTGCACACGTTGGCTCAATTTATGCATGCGCCATAGTCCGCTCATTGAGCAGCCGCGCTCCGAGTGGTTCGTTACCTCAAAAGTTCTCCAGGGCAAGGAACTCTTCTCTGCTCCGATAGTGCCATGTCTCTTTCTGCTTGGTGTGATTCGGATTGGGCTAGTTTTCCTCTTACACGTCGCTCTCTTACCGGTTGACTTGTCTTTCTTGGACACTCCCCGATTTCTTGGAAAACCAAGAAACAACATACTGTCTCTCGCTCGTCTGCCGAAACGGAATATCGGTCCATGGCCTCTGCTACATTCGAGCCCCCCCCCCCCCCCCCCATCTGCATCCTCTCTTGCTTGGCCTTCCCAAATCCTCCTGCATTTTGCCTCCCCTGGAACCTCCTCCTTGTTGCCTATCTCGTCCTTCTTTGACACACAGTTACTTGTCTCTGCTGAGAACGTGGTGTTTTGTGCCCATATGCCGGCACTCAAGAGCTATCTTCTGCTGAAACCTAGCACCCCATGAGTCCGAAGAATTCTCCATTAGCCATTTATTGGCCCTTGTGAGCCTGGTCTCCCCCCCCCCCCCCCCTTCCACCAGCCCGAATTGAAGCTCAACCCCGAAAACTTTCTCCAACACAATGTCATCCTCATATTTCAAGGAGAAAAATTTATCCGAATGCCCAATCACCCCACAGAAGAAACAGAAATTAGGTAGTTTCTCATATTTAAAATCTACTCAATGTCTAATCTCCTCTTTTTTCAAACTAGTTCCCTTCTTCAGAGGTTTTCTCATATCCATGCACACTCTAATTCTCATGTAAGATTTGCACTTTTCCTCAAACTGGTTCTTATCAAAGCTAATAAAAATGCCAATATAATTTACAATTCTCCTAGCAAAACCCAAGTTTCGAAATTTAAGAGGTGCATTGTGGACTTGTATCCAGAAATCAGTCTCACACAAAATCATCTTTTTAGGGATATCATCTGGCTGAACTGCTTTTAAGAGAAGCAGATCTGTCTCAAACAGGACCATCCTCAAACACACCATTCATGTCCAGCCACGGGGCTTGTGGTTAATTTGGTGCATCTTCTCCCTTTTATAAATCTTCTTGTAAAATCATTCCAATTGCACAGACATGGGACAAAATCTTGTCAACTGAACCCTAAAATTTATCAGCGGAACCCGGGTATATCTTCTCCTTTACTATCAGTCAGCAGTCCAGTTTCCGCTTTCCCTCTCCGATCTCCATGTAACGCCTCTTTTATCATGTATAGATTTTGCCATTTTACACGCGTATGTATCTTTTGTAATCAATTGTTTGTTCTACTCTGAAATCTGAATTGCAGAGCAAAGCGGTAAGGGAAAAAATGCTGGACCCAAATTTATTTCGAGAAGACAAAGGCTTCAACCCTGAAGTCATCCGAGAATCTCAAAGGAGGCGTTTTGCTGACCCAGCTGTAGTTGACGAGGTCATTCATCTCGACAAAGAGTGGCGTGAGCGTATGTGAACTGCGTTTCTCTGCTAATATTTAGACTCAATCCATAAAATATACTACTTCATGGTAACTTGAAATAAAAATTGAATCTTGTTGAGCTCTCATATAGGTCAATTCGAGCTGGATAATTTGCGTAAAGAGTTCAACAAGATCAACAAAGAAGTAGCCAAGCTGAAAATAGTAAGTCAGGCCTAATACTTTACTGAGTTTAATTTATTTTGTGCAATCTCCCTTTTTTAAACATCTTCTACTGCTATGATTTATTCAAGGGGAATTTTGAGTTTGAACCCCACTTTTTGACTGATATTGGACTTTGCACCCTATTTTCAAAATTTTTAGACTTTGCACCCTATCTACAACATTTTGTGAAGAAAATTTCCTCAATGGGGTGCAAAGGCAAAGACATTTTAGAGGAAATGGGGTGCAAAGTCTAACAGTTTTGAAAATGGAGTGCAAAGTCCAATATCACCTAAAAAAAAGTGGGGTGCAAAGTCAAAATATCCTTTATTCAAATATTGATAGAAGGCTTGATATTAATGGAAGAAAAGTTATTTATTTTTCTCCACTGCAAATTTATACATAGTTATGCTCTTCTCACTAAGTTATTGTTTTTAAACTAGCTTTTTTATGATACTAAAATGCATTTGATTGTTAATTTGGAAAAAGTAATGAAACACTGATTAGTGTGCATTCACTTATGGAATTAGTGTTTTGCTTAAAGGGAGGAGTAGTATAATGGTGTTATCCTACTTGGCATAATTTTGTTGTTGTTAGCTGTTTGATTTGTAGGATGATACTAGTCATAATACCAGTACATAATAATGTGATCATTCACTATTTTGCTGATGTTTGTTACCAACAAGGATGGTCTCCCTGATTTTTAATATTAAATTTATTTTCATCTAGGTTATGTTTATAAGAATGGGATTTGTTTCTCAACTAGTAAATAGGGCAATAGAAGTCAACAATCTATATGCTGGAAATTTTAAAACATGTGAAAGGCACGATGCAACTTAAAATGCCAGTTGAGATTTCTGTTTATCTATGTGTGCTACCAGGGTAATCCATGTGGGTAGGCTGATGCATATTTTTACCCTGCATGTTTGTGTAATCCCAATCACAATTCTTTCTTAGAATCCTTGGCTTCCATGTTTGTTAGAGATTCACATGAATGCTCATATTTGGTAGCGATTAAAAATCTTCATTATTGATGTGCTCAAGGCAAAACAAGATGCAAGTGAGTTAATTAAGAGTACTGAAGAGAACAAGAAATTGACTGCAAAAAAAGAAGAAGAAGTGCAAGTAGCCCGGGCAGAACTATATACAAAACTTGAAAGCATTGGAAATCTTGTGCATGACTCAGTTCCAGTTAGCAATAATGAGGTTTGTTACTATCTCCTTATTCTATAATCATTTTCCTGATAGAAAATCATTTCCCTGGGTTTATGTCAAGAATAATTTCCAGGACAATAATGCTATCATTCGTCATTGGGGCGATAAGAGAACCGAACCGGGGCTCAAAAACCATGTTGAGCTTGTGAAGCTTCTTGGAATTGCTGATTTGGAGAAAGGTATTGACCTTTTGGTACCATTTGGGGTGCGCAGTATTTTTGCAATATTGGCATTACATACCGGCTCCTGATATCATGTATAAATTCATGTTAGCCAACTCATCTGTTGGGAGTATGTCTTGGTTGTTGTCATGTCATTATAGACTTGCGTGCTATTTAAAACTTCCAATCCATCCATTTATATACTTTGCAACTCATGTCATTCCTCAATTTTTGCCAATTTAATAATTTAATAATTTAAAACATATTTAGGTGCAAATGTTGCTGGGGGTAGAGGTTACTATCTGAAAGATGATGGTGTTGATCTAAACCAAGCATTGATCTCTTTTGCCCTTCGTTTCTTGAAAAGAAGGGGATATTCTCGATTACAGACTCCATTCTTTATGAGGCAAGATATCATGGGAAAATGTGCTCAACTTGCACAATTTGATGAAGAACTTTATAAGGCAAGTTTTGAGATTTTTCTTTATACATCAGGTATTCAGGTCCTCTTCCACAGATATATCAAACACCTTTGCTCAGTAAAGGGATACTCTAGTTGAACACGTGTATCTCTTTATGGAATATTATGTTTTCTAAATTTTTATGTGATGAAGTGATGAACTATCTGATTGTTTTACCTAACTGTCTTCCAATAGGTCACTGGTGAGGGAGAGGATAAATATCTTATTGCAACAGCTGAACAGCCTCTCTGTGCATATCATATGGATGATTGGATCCACCCCTCGGAATTGCCACTAAGGTACCAACATTTTGCTATGGACCTGATAGCCGGTAGGCTGGTACGGAAGAAATTTCTTTCACAATGTACTTCATTACTGGCTTCAAATAGTGTTTTATTTTCATTCATTTTTTAGATATGCTGGATATTCGTCATGCTTCCGTAAAGAAGCTGGTTCACACGGACGTGACACACTAGGCATTTTCCGTGTTCACCAATTTGAAAAAGTTGAGCAATTTTGTATCACCAGCCCGAATGAAAATGACTCCTGGGACATGCATGAGGAGATGCTCAAGAACTCAGAGGACTTCTTCCAACAGGTCAGAGTTGATGCTGAATGTTTTTGGCTTTGTAATCTGTTTCTATTGTGATTTTTAAGGAAATGGGTCATGTATTCATTTAAAAGTTTTTACTTGATGTCTTGATGGAAGATTTGCATATCGACAATGACTGAAAAATATATATTCGCATTGAATTCTTTTTTGTTGCAGCTAAAGATTCCCTATCAAGTAGTTTCAATTGTCTCCGGTGCATTAAATGATGCTGCCGCAAAAAAGTATGATTTAGAGGGATGGTTTCCTGCTTCTGCCACATACAGAGAACTTGTTTCATGCTCAAACTGCACTGATTACCAATCAAGAAAATTGGAAATTCGTTATGGTCAGAAAAAGGTGGGATCTGAGCTTCCGTTTTTAACCATTCTCCCTACAAACTTTCTCTAAAATACCCTCTGTTCTTTATGATGAGGCACAATTGACCAAATTATACAAACTAAGGGAAGTATTTAATTTTTAATCTTGAGGCCTTTAAAATTTGTGGTATTCCAATTTTACTATCTTTTACGTAGTACTTCGTATTATGCTGCCGAGCATATGCGAGGTATGTCATAATGTCAGTGATTGTTTAGCTTGATTCCTTACCGACATTCTCACCTTCTTCTTCATTTCCATGTTTTTTTGTCGAACAGGGAAATGAGCATTCGGCTAAACAATATGTTCATTTGTTGAACTCAACCTTGACAGCAACAGAGAGGACATTGTGTTGTATCCTTGAGAACTACCAAAGGGAGGATGGAGTGGAGGTCCCTGAAGTATTGCAACCTTTCATGGATGGTGTGACTTTTCTTCCATTCAAGAGCATCCCAAATGGTAAAGGGAAAAAGTCGAAATAGACATTAGTATATGCTTCAGAAACAAAGCTTTTTAAACAATCACCGACTGTTTATGTGGTCTCATGGCGTCTGATTTCAGATGCCGTTTTTGCACAACATAATATATTACTTATTCTGCGTGGTTTGGGATGAATAGAGATTTTGTTGATTTTTATATGTCCATTTTTATGCAAACTCATTGACCAACTATATATTTTTATTTGGAAGTTATTTATGATATAAAAATTATATAAAACTGTTCTTTATTAAAAGTACTTTTATAAAAGTATAAATTTATAAAATCCATAAATGAAGTTCTCGGTTTGACCTATACACATATTTATGTAAGATAAAGTTTTGTTTCGACTTTCCAAGTTTACCCATGCTTTATTTCAAATCAAGCAAAAAGTGGGTAAAAAGTTAGGATAGTTGTGACTTTTGGGATAAAAGCGGTTTCCTTTTATAGAAATAAGAGTTTCTTTTTGGGACATCCATAAAAGGAAAGTGATAATTTCTTTTCGGGAGGGAGGTAGTGTTATGTTGTATTAATTTAAAGGGAAAATGAAAACTAATAATTCAACCTTTTAGCGGTCTTCTTACTATAGTCCCAGTTTTTTGTTATTCAAGAATAGCCTAACCTTTGCACCTCATCTTTATTCGCTGGTCGGCTGGTCCCTGACCGGTTAATGACCTGTTATTCTAAATTATTTTCTTATCTTTGCAAAATATTATCTTTGTGAAAGGTGAGATTTATGGTATAATGGTTTGCAAAGATAAGAAAATAACTTGGAATAGCAGGTATCAATCAGTCAGAGACCAGTGAATGAAGATGAGGTGCAAAGGTTGGATTATTCATGAATAACGAAAAGGTGAGACTATTGTAAGAAAACAGCTAAAAGGTTGGATTATTAGTTTTCATTTTCCCTAATCTAAATCATGGTTCAAATTTTCTGAAATGACTTTTTTAGGACGGAGGGACATTGGCACTGTAATTTCTTTTTACATTTACGGGTGCATCTATATTCTCAAATGCCTTTAACATTGAGTTCAATAATCTATCCGTTTGTAATACATTAAAATGTTTTTATTTGGACTGTTTTTTAGTACTAGATCAAATTTAAACAGATAAGGTTAGATTGGACCTGACCAAATTTAAATAGCCTAGACCATACGAGACTTTCATAGGTATAAAATGCACAGAGATCAGATATTTATTAGACCGGATCAAACTAGATTTAAACAAAATTTCATTATAAGTAAAAACATTCTAACTTGATATAACATCTAAAATATTAGAGTAGAAGTTTATGCACCGTTTTTAGTGTCATTTTGGGTGAATTTAATTAATGTACATGCATAAACTAATTACTACTTCTGTCCCACTAAGATTGAGACAAGAGAAGGTGGCACGATTATTAAGAAAAGTGGGTTTGTGTGGTTGATATTAAATTGATAAAGTAAGAATAAAGTAAGAATGATTTAGAGCTATACAAACTTTATCAAATTTGGTAAGAGACAATCTTAGTGAGATTTGCCAAAAAGGTAAAATGGGACAATGTTAGCGGGACGGAGGGAGTACTACGGTAGTACCAAACTACCAATAGGCAATAGTATTGAGCAAATACTATTCCAGCTTAAACTTCTCACTTATCCTTTTCTAGTTCAATAAGGCTCTATTTTAACTCTGTTCTAGCTCAAGTCTTTTTATTGATTTTAACTCCGTATAAAAAAGGCCACGGCTGAGGATTGAGGACGGTATTGAAGATTTTGGAATAACTAGGGATAAAAAAAAGTTATTTGTACCCACCTTTTACCCTTATATCCATCTTTATACACACCATGTTAGTGCAAGACCTTTTTGTACAAACAGATAAAATAACACATATTTTGTTTGTGAACCGGATACACAGACAAAAAAAAACTTTCACAAACATAATAGATATAAGGTGAGTATAAGGGTGAAAAATATATCAAGCATCGTTGTTAAAAAATGATTTTCCCAACAAAGATATATCAATATTCCAGTGAAAAATATTTCATCTTGAGGTTTGTGAAAGAAGGTTTGTGTCATGCAATTGTGCACGGATTACAACTGTACAACCATGCATGTTACGGAGTATTGAATAACACAACAATCGACCAACCATCGTACCCAAAAACATAAAGATTAGCTGTACGAATATGTATTCAATTTATTGATTCACTTTTATAGATAAAATAAATTGGGTTGCAGGCTTCGCTGGACTTTTACCAGACGCTCAAGAACTGACTGATAAATGATAAATCATTGAAAATTTTTAACTGCAATCTGAGCTTGTCTTCTGTGTTCTTAAATCTTAACACCAGTCTGTATAACAACGTACATGGAACCGAGCCTTAAAAATTTAAAGTGTTTACCAAGGGTGGATTCAGTAATCTGAGCTTGAATAGATTGAAAAGTAGTTATACTAGATTTTAAACATTAGCACAAGATTTAAATATGAAGAGAAAAAATTACATAGAATTTATTTTGGAAAAAAGTAGGTTTCCCTGAACTTCAGCTCACTATCCTAACACAGCTGGTGTCAACAGTTCGCAATACATATCGGTTCATTAAATCAAACATGGTTGTGTAGAGTTAAGTATCAAATATTTTCTGATGGGGTTAGGACGGAGCATTCATAGTTTTCAGATATTAATTTCTCGGATTTTGTAATTGTTTTGTTATGCTTCTTTATGCTAATAACTCGGGCAAAGTGCCGAGGACTAGACGATTAGCCCAACAAGTAAACAGGTCGATGTAGCAGTTGGAGAACTGCTCACTACAGGCCCGTGGCGTTAGGGAGGGTACACAACCAGGACAAAACTATATTGCTGAACGAATAGTATTATTGAGTATATAAAGTGCAATAAAAAAATTGAATCAATACATAGATTGTCTTACATTTTGATACATTCATATGTGTGTGTGTCTCTTTTAAACTACATGGTTGGTGGACGGGGGTTATACTGTGACAGTGAACAAGTAGAGCCGAAGTACCAAAGCAAGAGCAAGCTGTAACAGAAAGATACCAGCCACAATCAAGAACCACCTCTCCCCAGCAGAAACAATGTGTGTCCTAAGGTTAAGGGCAACAAAGGTCGCAGACATGAGCCCAGCCAGACCAGCAACCACCCATCTGAATATTTCAATAGGTACGACTGAAAGGCACTACAGAAAAAAAAAAGACAGAAAAAAGACAGAAAAAACAAGACGGGGGTTAGATATTATAAGCAAATTAGAGCTTGTTTGGTAATGCAAAAATGGACTCTCTCTCTCTCTAAATGTGCTCAAATTGGATGAAATGACTGAATGTGGTGCATAATGAAATAATTATATTTAAAATACAATTTATTAATAGAATAAATAAAAGTTACATGTAAAACATAAACTAAACTAGCCCTCTTCAGCAAATTCAACCATAATAGGTGTCTCTGTCTTTACTTATTTTGTTTACTACAGTTCAGCTTGCATAATAAAAATTTTGTGTTTGGTAAAAAATCTGACTCGATAAGGCTGTTAAGCCAAAAGAATAGTTTACCAAATGAGCTCATAGTGATTCTCGATTATTTTATGATAATATATCCTGTAATAAACTGGAAATAAATAAATGGAAGTGTTTAGTAAGGATGCTAGAAAATTCGATTATTATCACACTATACATTCAAATAAACACATACTAACAATATTTATGCGTTTACGTTTGCAATAAGCGAAAAGAAGTCAAACCTACCTTATATCCAAAACGGAATGTAAAATAAGTAAGGGCAATGAAGATGAATGCAGAATATATTCATAATAAAGACACATCAGTTGAACTGTTGAAGAAGGAATAGTTAACACTTAAGAGTTAAGCCTCACCAGTGCAGGGATGAAGACAAACAGGGAATATCCATAGAGACAGAGTAGTTGAACAAGGCTGGCAGGAGCAGATAAGTACTTGAGAATAACATACAAGCAAATGGGGACTATGACCACATATCCATAGAATAAACCGGCAGACCAAGTCACCAGATTGATGTCATAGTCCCATTCTTTTTTCTGAATCTTGTGGGCCAAATATGTAACAAATGTGCCGATGGAAGCTGCCACAAATATCAGGGTAGTGCAGATCCAGAATGGTCCATACCTTAAAGAAACAAGATACAGCAATGAGGGTACAATAGTCATTTTGAGATAAGACCAAGATCTGAGATTGTTTTAAGTATATGAATTTCATTAAAAGACGTTTCCCAGTGTTGTTTAATGAATATCATCTGCTACTGAATACAAATATCCATTCTGAACATGTACTGACACAGAACAACAAGATAATAATGATTCACTACAACAAAAAATATGAAATATCACAAAGCATGTAGCCATAGGCTTTTGATTCTAAAATACACTCAGAATGCAGATGCAAGGATTATAAATCTCAATTCCACATTATGAAATCCGACATTTTCCTTCATTCGTGTATAAAATAAAAGCATTGAGAATGCAGCATGATAAAAAAAAGTCAACTAATCTAGTACTTCGTATTAACTAAAGCAAGAGGAGCATGCTCACCTTTACATGAAAAGATGACAAATGTGAAAATTATCACAAAGTTCTTAATTAATGGGCGAGTAGCAATATATCCAGCTACCAATATCAGAATAGCAGGTTATGAGTATGAGCTAGAGGTACAAGTACAACTAAAATAACCAAAGAATATAACAATAATGACTGAGATGATTGAGAATGAATTAACAAAGAGATCATGATGACGGCAACATACAAATCTGGGCTACTAGAAGTTTTCTCAGTAAAGGCTCCACCAAAAGGAAAGAGTGAATATTTTATCCTTTCCAAAACATCAGATGTATCAACATCAAAATAGGGCTTGTAAGCAGCAATAGTGAAAGCACTTAACCAGCCACTCTGTCGGGGCACATCAGAACCAGATGCTGGTTTGGAGAAACTATCTACAAAACAATAGAGAAAAAAATGATTTCTTGAATGAAAATATAGAGAATTCAACATTGACAGGGCACACTACTACACGGGAAAGAATGTGAAGGGGATCATTGAATTAACCCTTATGCCATCCACACACAAAATATCCTTTTTATTTTTATTCTCTGCGTTATATTTATATACCACTTGTAAGAGCTCCAACCTATACCCACTACCCAATTTAACAAATTAAAGACACCAAAGTGCAAACAATCTGAATTAGGGGTAGCTCCCAATAGCTGGAGAGCAAATTCTCTTCTGATTTCCAAGGGACATAGTGTCAAAGCTTTGTGAGAGACACTACATAAGCATAGTACATTGCCTAATTATCTCAGAACTTCAAAGCAATGAGGAGATTAGCCTAAGAAACTTGCTGGTGTGTAGCAGTTGAAGAGCTTCTAGTATTTGGTCACACAGCTTGTCTCCAACTATAAACATGTAGCTGTTGAATACCTACCATTCAGATCAAATTCTAGTGATCAAATCCTAAAATCTCCCAATAGTACAATTCCAGCATCTAAATGCAACAGACCAACAGTCAACACAGACACAATGAAATGAAAGGCCTAAAGATGGCCCTAACAACTTCAATCCACATAAAAACATCCCCAACAAAGGAAAATCGAAAAGTAAGTAGTACATGAGAAGTGACCACCTATTATACAGACAGCCTTAGTTCTCAACCACTGTATGTCCTTTGTTCAAAATCAACCTGAATTTCTCTTCAGCTGGATAGCTGATCAAAATGAAATAATATGAAATATTATAATACAAGTATAATCTACTGAGATCATACCATCAGCATCACGAGGAGGACCAGAGCCACGAGATATTTTCCCCTGTGAACTTGAAGGTGGAAATGTCTGAAGATTCGACTCTGCAAATTTTAGACACATTTCTTCCAACACTTAAGAAATCAATCACGAAAAATATAAAATACATGTCGTAAGGGATACAATACCAGTGAATTTGACGGCAACATGGGAAGGAGGATCTGCTACTGCCTGGAATTTTACAAAAAAGAAAAATGAATAAAACAGTAGCACGATATCTAGATCTGCTTACAGTGATAATGTGGAAATGAACACATAAAGAAATTGACTTACAGGAACAGATCCAGAGACATTCTGATTATCGATGGCGGTATAATTGCTCGACATCATCTTCGCAATTCACTAATTATCTGTTCAAGTGTGCATATATGAATACATGTATAGCTATCAATGCATAAATATATATACTTTTCAAAGCTCTTATTTCGTGGTCGGCCAGGGAAGCTTTTCTTTCTCTTCTTCAGCGTTTATACTAGCTGAGAGATCTCCCAAAACGTAATACGGGAGTATTGCATCTTAGAAATTCTCTGGACTGAACAAATATTTCATAAAGGCTACTTTAATTTTATTTTTTAGGAAATTTAACTTTCCAGAGTTTTTTCCCGGAATAATGTTAATTAAATAAATAATTCCCAAAATACTGTCGGGTTAAGAATAATTCCCGAAATACTGTTGGGGTTAACCACGGTTAAGCAAAGCCGTCACTTCAAGTGGCGGCTCTTGTACAGCTTCACATAAGCCGCCACTTGGAGTGGCGGCTCTTCTACTGCTGTTTGAAAGCTGCCACTTAGAGTGGCGGCTCTTGTGTTAAGCAACCTGCTGCTTACACAACTAAACCTGTAATTAACAAAAAAAAAGCTCATCACAGACGCACAGTCCAATCCACAACTAAACCTGTAATTATCAAAAACTGCTCATCACAGACTCACAGTCCAATCCACTCAAAAAAACAACCAAACATATGATTTACTAAGACAAAACACACCCGAAACACAAAACCAATCAATCAAACTACATGACAACATACATCCAAAACACAAAACGAATCAATGCACCACAAAACTTGAAATAAACCGTAAAAGTTATAATAAATCTAGTGTTTCACAAAATGATTCGATTTGATAGTGCATGCTACAACTTTCACACAATAATTTAAATACAACGATCATAAGTCAACGTGATCATCATCATCATGAAGTTCATGTGGCTGTGCTCGGGGACGCCTGCGTTGGTTACGAGGCTGAAGAACAACTCTATCACGTCGGACTGCCTGAGAAGACCCTGCTGCGGATGTAGATGCGGTGGAATGCTGAGAGGTGGCCATATATCCATAATCCACTCGACCCAATACATCAGCGCATAGTGAAACAATGTCCGAACAAGCGTCATGGTATCCCTGTACATCTACCGCCTCACTAAGTACAGCAGTCGCTCTGTCATGGATGCTACGCAAAGCCCGTGTCTGTAATGCAAACATGGTTATTAGTGAAAAACACATGAATAAATAAATAAAGATATTTTATTGACTATATTGTTTACCGTCATATGAAGAGCGACTGAGCTAGGCTGGTAAACGAAAACTGGGAGAGATAAACACCCGTGTGATGGTGTAATACCATCTCATGTAGTCTACAGAAGCTGTGGGGACTAGTGATGGGATCCCGTCCACTATATATGCCGCTCTCTCATCCCACATAGTGATATACTGAATATGGCGCATCCCCCAATCTTCAGTGTGCTTCCCCCGTCTATCAATCTTGTGCAAATCCACAGATGTATCACAAGGTCCGGGAGTAACCTGCTGCAACCCGAATTGGCGTAGTACGCAATCAGGAAAGTGATGCTCCACTACATCAAAACATATCAAGGGCACACGTGCTCGCCATATCTCAGTGTGCTCTCGGGCAACAGGAGGCAACAGCCCTAGAATCTCATCAGTGTACGGCATCCACGTCATCTATAATATAAAATTATGTTAGATCATGGTTTATAAAAACATAAAGCAAAGTACTTACATTTAATGATATAAATGATATACCTGATCATCACACAAGCGATCTAAAGCATCTCGGTAGTATCCTAATCCAGCAGCGGATGACGTGCGCGTGACATGAGCAAATAGCCATCTGACACAATGTAATGTATAAGAATATAAAAGGGATTCACGTACGTCATAAAAAAATCATAAACATACCTACGACCCAAGGGATCCTCGCCACGAACATGATGTGGCCCAAGTATAGCGTGCTGATCCATATCATCATCAAGAGGACCACCATCTACCCCATGATATCGCAGTATGACAGGTCTGCCGATATGAATGTGCTCCCATGACCACAGCTGTATGAGCAATAAAAACCCACCCATCTCTCCACCGTCACGATGGCAACCTCGACATAACTGCCGATATAGGTATGCTAAAGTCGCACTACCCCAGCTATAAACTGCAGCTACATCAAAAGACTCCAGAATGGGTAAATACAAGACCTGCACCTCATTCCCGCTCTTGTCCGCAAACGTGGAAGCTCCCATAAGCATCAGAATGTAGGCTCTCGCGTATTGCTGCACAACATCGTCATCAGCATCAGCAGGTAAACCAACAAAATGCTCTCTCAACCAAGCCATCCTCAAGGCGGACCCCCGAATATCTGTCCCAGGGTGTGGCCGTACTCCCAACAATCTCTGTACCACATCAACCCACAGTCTACATGCAGTCCCAGTAACTGCCCGACCCTCGATCGGTAGACCTGCCAATACAGCCACATCTCCTAGTGTGATCGTGACCTCACCCACCGGTAAATGGAACGTGTGAGTCTCCTGCCTCCAACGCTCAAGTAGAGCAGTCAGTAATGCTCTATCTATATGCAGAGTCGAAACTAATCTGTGAACACCATAAAAACCAGCTAATCGAACGTAATGTAGAATCCTATCGTCCACCTCCGTGTGGAATATACTGCGTAGGTGCTCACGACACCTATCTACCTGAACATCCAGGCCACGCCACACATCCTCGCTCCGGTGCGTGGCCTGCAATGTCAGGACTGAAGGATCAATCGGTCCGGGATCCACTGACACCTGCATCGGCGCTGTAAAAGTAATAAATGTATTAGTTATTTTATTATTAAATTCAATTTTTTTTTTTAATATTGCTAATGCATTTGCGAATAAAAGAACAACATTACCCAGTGGAACTCCCTACGTGTCCCTCCGATCTTCTAGCACATGTCGTCCTGTTATGCCCTGTTTGCTTGCATTTACTGCATCTCACAGTACCTCTAGGGCCTTCATCCATTTCATTTATCAATCGTTTAGCCTTCGGGCGACCTTTAGCGCGAATCATCGACGGGTCATGCACAACTCGCGGTCCAGTGTAAGTAGGTCGGTACGCTATATCCGGTATGGGCTTAAATACTCTTATATAGGAAGCCGCATACTCCGACGATGAAAAAAATTTATCAACAAAAACATCATAGGACAAACTACGGTCTCTGCATACCGCCAATATATGTGAGCAAGGAATCTTATAAATATTCAGCTTCTGACATGTGCAGTGGCGACGTTGCAAATTCACCGTGTGTTTTCTACCACCATTCCCCACGGTTCGACCACCACGACCCGTCTCCACTTGGTATAAACCACGGCCTATGTCAAATATTGTGACCTTGTGATGCTTTGCTTTTTCCGTATTTTTGTCAATCAGTTCGGTCACTTGCTGGCAGTAGCGATGCCCTTCTGCTAATCTTCTCTTACTCCTTTCTCTTCTTTCCACAAAATAGGCATTCACACGATAGAATGATAACTCAACTAAGGCGGTTACAGGCAGGTATCGTGCACTTTTCATGACGCTATTGAAAACTTCAGCCATGTTCGTTGTTGAGGTGCCATACCTGTATCCCCCGTCGTGGTGTAAAGACCACTTCTCCAAGCCAATGTTCGCTAGATATTCTCGTGCTTGTGCATGCATTTCGCCTATCTTGTTAAATCCACCATCAAATTTCTTCTTTTGACGTTGACTAGCTGTCCAAACGAACAAATTCTTCAGGTGAATGTCTTTAAATTGAGTATGCAGATTAGAAGCGACATGCCGTATGCAAAGCCTATGTCGTGCATCTGGCTCCTCCCATCCACTCTCTACCTCATTAAATGTCTTCATAATTCCAGCATGTCGATCTGAAATAACACACAATTCTCTGCGTGTGATTGAATGACGTATGCACGCCATAAACCACGGCCAACTTTCTCCATTCTCTGATTCGCAGATAGCAAACGCCAAAGGGAACAGTTGATTATTAGCATCACTACCCATTGCCACCAACAGCGTACCTTTATACTTCCCATATAAGTGTGTTCCATCGATAGTCAGTAAGGGACGACAATGTTTAAAGCCCTTAATGGATGGCTTAAATGACCAAAAAACTCTTTGAAACTGCTGAACATCAGTGGTACCTGAAGATGGAGAAAATTAGGAGGACGAATTCAAAATGAAATTTAATATGATATAATAATGATATTAATAACTCAATGGTACCTGAAAGAGGTGGGTACCAATGCACGACTGTCCCTGGATTGGAATGTTGTAATGCCAACATGAAATGAGGCAATTCAGAATACGAGGCCTCCCAATCTCCAAATATTTCACCGATAGCTTTTTGCTTAGCCAACCAACTTCGCTTGTATGAAGGAATATAGCCGTACCTTTCCTTCATAAGCTGACTAATAGTTCGGACTTTTAGTGATGGATCGGTACGAAGAAGATCAATAATTTCACGGGCTATGAACTGAGCTGTGATACCAGCATGGTCATTGTTATCGATGTTACCTACACAAGTAGGTATATGAGGACCTGCATAACGAACAACTTTGAACATCTCTAGCTTTTCATGTTTCTTAGTAGCCCGAATCCGCCAAGTGCAACCGCATTCTTTTCTCCTCTTACACTCTGCCACCCATTTGTGTTTGTCAGACTCAACAACTGAGAAAAATTGGTTCCTCTTTACAGAGTACGCTCTAACCATGTTGATCAGTTGTTTCTTATCATCAAACTCTTGCCCAACCTCGAATTCACCATCTGCAGAGAAGCGAGTAGAAGTTGTACAACCTTTCCATGATTCATCAAATCCCGCAGGGAGCTCATAAACTTTAGTGTAGTGGCTAGATGGTGCATTGCCACTTACGAGATCACCACCATCTTCATCTGAATCTGTTAGTGTGTCATGGTTCACATTTTCATCTGCATCGTCGTCATTGCACTGTGAATCCAGAAACGTTGCATCACTATTCACGTATCTTCCATTCTCCTGTGTAACCATATTCATCACAACTGGAACACTTGTGGATGGGCAAGACAATGGCGGGTGGCCAGGTTGTATGGGCAACACCGCCACTTCTTCAACATATATCTCCATGGTATGCATATCAAGATTCTCGATTACAGTCCACATTCCTGTAACGGCGTTGATGTGTAATTTTCTCGCACTTAAAAATGATGTAGTAAAGTGGTTGAAAGTACGAGTATCGTCTCCACAGGGA